TAATTCAGCTGCTCTGCAGACCAGCTGGACAATTTCGGCCCCAGTGAAATCAGTCAGCTGTTCTCGGGCGAATGATGCCAGCCAAAGCGAGCATAAGGGAACTGGCATTTCAGAGCCAGACAAAGATTGCTCGAGGGCTAAAGGGAGGGGAGGGCAGAGGCTGTGGTTGACCGGGGAGGCAAAAGAGGAGAGGATTGGATCGGTTTGAGAGTACGAAGAAAAGGAAGATGAAGTGGAAGAAGTGGAGGAAGTGGAGGAAGTGGAAAGGGAGGTAGAGATAGAGGAATGAGATGAGTGAGATGAGTGAGATGAGGAGGAAATCTTAGATGGCTTAGCAACTTCGGAAGAAGGAACCTCGAGACCATCAGCTATAGAACAGCCGCGGCGCCTCAACTCCAACTCCAAAATTCTTGTCCGAGCCGTAATATCTGGTGGAGGGATGTAAAGGATTAGGTCGAAGCGGCCGGCGCGACATAAAGCCTGCAGATAATAAGATTATAAAATCTCGAATTGAGTAACAGTATCATATTAGTGATAGCAGTAATAGGAACAAGGCTAAGAGAATACATGACATTTGTTGACCATCCTAAATTCAGCGCACAATTACATTTAAAGACTAGATATTTAAAAAAAGGGCCATTTAAATGTAACTATACTACACATTGAAACACACACTAGGATAAATAGAAATTCTAGAAAAAAGAAAAAAATTAAATCGAAGTTATTTGAAGTGGGTTGAACTCTTTGTCGCAACTTAGTCTTGTGTTCAGGGAGACTATGTAGAACGCACCTAGTTCCGAAGTCGTCTGCCATAGTAGTTGTCATGATTCCCAGCATCTGACAGTGGACTTGATACATTCTCAAACGTTGGGTTGATCTCGTTGTCGCAACTTGGTCTTGTTGTCAAGATGACTTAGTAGAACGCACCTAGTCCGAATTCGTCTGACCTCGTTGTCGCAACTTGGTCTTGTTGTCAGGACGACTTAGTAGAACGCATCTAGTCCGAAGTCGTCTAGAGTCGTTGTCGCAACTTGGTCTTGTTGTCAGGGCGACTAGTGGGTTGACCTCGTTGTAGCAACTTGGTCTTGTTTTCAGGGAGACCATGTAGAACGCACCTAGTCCGACGTCGTCTGCTAGAAGTGGGTTGACCTCGTTGTCGCAACTTGGTCTTGTGTTAAGGGAGACTATGTAGAACGCACCGAGTCCGAAGTCGTCTGCCGTAGTAGTTGTCTTGATTCCCAGCATCTGACAGTGGACTTGATACATTCTCAGACGTTTCGCCGGCATCATCAGTGAGACTTGCCATTCTCCGCACCAAGATACCAACTCGTCAGAGACAAGTGAGGTCAATCCCTCGACTAACCTTCTTGCTGGAAACGGTTACACTATCACTCCTCTTTCTGTCATTGTCTATCTACCTACTCTTTACCCTCTTATCTCACTTCTTAGTTCAATCATCCAAATA